ATGCAGGTTAGTTTTTTTTTTTATAAATTCAGCTCCTTAAGTGGTATTAGCTCTCTTTCTATAAGCTTCTCTCTCTGTCCTTCCTCTGCTTCTCATGGTTAGTCTTGCACATAGGTTTGTAAATTTTCAATCCTCAAATGATGACACTGTTTTCTTTATGCTGATCAACATTTTTTGATATCATGTATGGTTTGACTGTGCAGCTTTTAAGATGAGTTTGTTTCTGCCATTTTACTGCCAGATGTTTCTACCCTATAAAATCTTCAGATGATTCAATTGTTTTCTGCAGTTTGAAGTTTCTAATGACTTCCTATCACATTTTTATATGTTCTGCAGTTAATTTCAGCTTTTTTCATTCAGCAAAAGCATTCCCACTTTGATGTTTCTCCGAAACAGCTTTTTCTAGTTTATATTGTGTTTTGTAGATCACACTCACACTATACTGGTTTTTACATCAAATTGGCCAGTTGAATGTTGCTGCTACTGTAGCCTTCATGCAGATCAATAGAAACTGTGATCTGTAAAATGCAATTAAAAGTCATTTGTAAAAGCTCTGAAAAATTGTTGGATTTTTGGATTCCTGTCTCTGAGAACTCCTTAAATTTTTGAAGAACACACCTCTGCCTCCTCGCCGCTGCATTTGGGTCCTCAAAACCAGAACCAAAACCTGACACATACAGGACTTCTGGAAGAGGAAGTCACTTTTAAACGGTTCATTCAAACAGAATGTAGAGAAGCTCAAAGAAACCAATCCTTGCTTCATAAAGTGTTTTTATTTTAAAGGATAATGGAATACACATCTAGTTATATTTGTTTTTTCCAGTTACTCTAAAATGTATAAGTTATGCATTTATTCAGGAACATAACTTAGTCAACATCGTTACTGCTTATTCAGATCACATCCCACAGCGTCTTCTTTCCTCTGCTGTGTCATTCTCTTGGATCGCTGCTTTATCATGCCCCATGTGACGTTTCAAAAGTCTTGCTCTGTGCCAGAGCTGCCTAAGCTAATTAAGTCAGTCTCTGGAGGCTTTGGATGCAGGACCAGGCATATATGATTATCACTACCCACGTCTTTTCATGATCATGTTGGTTATAAAACTGTAACCTGCTACTAATGCATCGCCACACTGATGAAATGTTTGGATCTTCCAAACTGAACAACTCTGACATTTACAGGGCTTCCAGTGCGCCGTTATGCGTCATGGTCAGGGGCGATTTTCCTCTTCACATTCCAGCTGCAAGGAATAGTTTCTTTGTTTCCGTTGTCGTCCCACTTTCTGTTTAGTGTGTGTCTCATAGATTGCTTCCTGCTTTCATCGCGGTGACTCTTCCTGGCACTTCTCTGCTCACAGGAGGCTGCAGGAGTGCAGGGATCTTTGATGTTCTTTCCAGCATGTGGTGGGCCTTGACAAGCTGACTCTGCCCGCTGCCCTTTGCCTCCGAGTCCTCGGGTAAGCTTGTCTCCATCTGTGTATAATCCTCCAGCTGACGTGTTGGATTGGCACTGATCCTCTTGGAGGTGTTGTTCTCTCCTCAGCCGCCTTCTCTCTACCTCAGGCTGGAGCGCAGTCAGGTTGTTGTGTGATGGCGCTACGTCAGCTTTGATTCTGGCCGAATGTAAAGGAGGGACAGCAGCCTGAATCCCTCGACCCATGACGTCTTGCAGCTGCTTGTCTAAATTCTTCTTTATAGGGTTACGGTGTTTCAGATGAGGTCTCGGCATCGTTGAAACCGAAGGACACTCAGCTAAATCCACAACCTTCTGCCTGACAATCGGGATTGGCTTACATGCGACATTTTTCTTCACTATCATGTCTGGCTTAGAGCCAGCAGGTTTCACGTCTAGATGGATCAAGTGCAGTTTTTTCCTCTGAGCCTCTCTCACCTCCTCTGGCAGCTCCAGTGGGGTGAGCTTGAGGGGCCGTCTCAGTGGCTGGTCCTCAGCCAGCCTCTCTAAGTCATGCCTGGGGGGGGTTAAGCAGCAGAGAGCCCAGCTGCGTCATGGCCTCCTGGGTCGGTAAGGACGGTGTAAGCTGACCCAATGACTCCCGTCCATGTGTGCCTGACATATGGAGGCCAGGTGTATTCGAGTCGTGGCTGTTTTTGTTATCTTCTTTGATGTTCTCACCCGTCGGATACAGCATGGCATTTTTATCATTGGTGGTAAACATTTTATCTTGTTACACACGATCCTAAATAAAGGAGACATTGGGGAATCATTAGAAATTAAAACTGTAGAAATTTATCAGATAAAAGACATTTGAAAGGAGCTTAAACGTAAAGAAATTTGAAATTCATTCCTTTCAAATACACAGTTACTCCCGCAAGTCAAACGGCATATTTAAAAGAAGCTACTGTATCAGGCTGCACAATTTCAACCTAAAAAGATGAGAGGATTCCGCAAATGTTAATAAAACTGTACCCATGTTTAGATTATAAAGGTTTTATGGAGTGAATTTTGTTCCAATATTATTGAAGGGGACAACACTGGAACCATATAGTGAAATAAAAATAAAAAAATTGAAATTATTCAATTTTCAATTCAGTTTATTTATATAGCGCCAAATTCACAACACATGTCATCTCAAGGCACTTTACAGTTCAACCAGATCATACAGTCAAATTGATACAAAGTTTTCTATCTAAGGAAAACCAGTTGATTGCATTGACTCATTGACTCAAATACAATCCCCCACACTAAGCATGCTTGTAGCGACAGTGGAGAGGAAAAACTCCCTTTTAACAGGAAGAAACCTCCAGCAGAACCAGGCTCAGTGTGAGCGGCCATCTGCCGAGGCCGACTGGGGTTCAAGGAGACAGAAGCAGAGATACAAAAAGCAGCTGTAAAAGTAAAATTATATTTCGAAGAACTTCTTAATCTAAAATATTTTTTGACATGACCTTTCTCAGATATTTTTTTCAATTATTTTTATTTATTTCTCTTGTTTAAATATTTTTATAACCATTTCATCAACTTTTTTTTTCTTTATAGATTTAATATTTAGTATTTCTATTTTTCAGATTGAGTTTTAAAGATCACACTCTTGATTTGTACAATACATTGACCAATATAATGTTGCTGCTAACATTCATGCAAATAAATAGAACATTTGACCTGTAAAATGCAATTTAAAGAGAAAATAATTTGTAAAAATTCTGTCTGAAATATAGAATTTTGCAACAAAAGAAAAACTGAAATCTGAAAAATCAGCAAAGTTACTCTCAACACCTTTTTTGATTAAGAAATCTTTAAAAGTGTTATTTCTGATTTGAATATTGCTTCTTTTTTTTCATTTCCATAAAAAAAAGAAAAAAAGAACACTTTCAAACCAGAAATGCTGATTTTAAATTTGGAACAACATGGACATTTCACTCCTTTCAGTTCTGAGGCTCACCTAATGTCAGAGATGGGAAGTAACGAAGTACAAATACTTTGTTACTGTACTCAAGTAGATTTTTCGGATATTTTTACTTTACTTTACTACTTATTTTTATGGCGACTCTTCTACTCCTTACATTTTTATACAAATATCTGTACTTTCTACTCCTTACATTTAAAAAAATTGGCTCGTTACTTTAGTTTTGAATCATTTCAATGGAGTTACCGTTATTATTTTTCACATCAATTCAATCTAATTGGATGGGAATCTACGTTGCATTTGACGCACCACTACAAGACGAATCGACAGATTCGGCGGTATTCATTCGCGGCAAATCATTGCAGCTTGGTGGCGGTGGCGTTAGCATAGTAGCATGGACGACGAGATGATTGAAAATGAACACAACGGAGATCTAGTCCTATTGGCAGACATCCATTTAAAATGTAGGAAACGGCATGAAAAAAGTGGTTTCTACTTTTACTTTTATACTTTAAGTAAATTTACAAGCCTGTACTTTGTTACTTTTACTTGAGTAAAGAAGTTTAATCAGTGCTTCCACTTTTACCAGAGTACTTTTTAACACAAGTATCTGTACTTTTACTCAAGTACGGAAAGTGAGTACTTTTGCCATCTCTGGTTAATGTATCCAATGATAAACTTACTGCCCTGTTTTTTGGGTTTTTTTTTCTGTGCTTCTTTGAAAGAAAGAAAAAGACAGGGGCCCCACCCTGGCCCCATGATGAATTTGATATAGAAGTGCAAGCGGAAGCTGTGTTTACATCAATAAATCTGCATTCAGTCTGTGCTGGCTTCCATATAAGACAGACTTAGACTTAGACAGATTTTATTTTGTCACATGGTACACACAAGTGTGTACAAAAAATATTTCGTGAAGTACAGCTCACTAGACTTTTTCATTCTTTAAAGTGCAGCCTTGATTAACGTAAGCAGCAGTGATAAAAACACTAGTGAATAAAAGTGTATAGTTACAGTTCCAACATTCAGGGCTTTTTTTTTTTTTATAACCCATTTTTTTAAACATTTATCAGTCAAATATGACCATCATCCATTGTTTACATCAATGCATTCTGATTAACCTCCAAGATTTACAGTCCCGGTTATTGAAAGTGTTACTTTCATAAAAGCAAAGAAAACATCTTCGGTGGTAACTCTGCCATGCTATCCATCTTCTCACCCAGAACAATAAACTCCACTGTTACGAAGCGAGTAGTCAAACTGAGGTCTTATGATGATCTTTCATTTTCTACCCACACATATGACAGTCCTGTATTGCATACTCACCGGTTTGCTGAATACCTCCTGCTTGGCGTGTTGCTGAATCATATTTTTTTGCCTGGAAGAAGAATGTTGCTGCTCTCTCTCTGTTTTGTTTGGACTGGGCAGCATGCAGTGGGATTTAGTGGGATCCTTAATGGTATTATGCAGATTAGGGTCACACTGCAGCTCTGTGATCTCCAGCTTGGCACCAGGCGGTTTGCCGACTCACCTTAGGCCTTGTTGAGATAATGTTTTCATTACCCGCAGTGGGACTGTAGACCAATATGAAATGGATGGCAACCAGCTGTTTCAATGACAAAGTTTGCATACCTATTTTGCGTATTTTTGGTCACTAGATGGCGCCAAAAGCCTCTTGTGTCTGCTGCTTTTCCACAGTGGTGGGGTGGTGTTGCCTCATCATCTCTTCATATGTAACCCAGCCAGCAGTTAGCAAGCTGGAGGAGAGCTGCACAGCAATGCCCTGATGTGTGAATTTTATTTTTAGATATTTAAATATCTTAGGACACAGTTTTGGCCCAAAGCTAGAATGGTTTGAAAAACTTACTTCGAATCCCCAATGCTGATTGCAGCGGTGTTTGATTAAAAAAAAAGAGATGCTTTTTATGTTATCTTCTGATCATCCAAGCAGAACTGTCCCAGGGAGGCAGCCGATTGTTAAAAATTCCCTCTGCAGCTAGGCAACCAGCTTGAAATTCGCTGGAAGTCACTCTCTCCAGCGCTACAAGACAAGAGACAGTCCAGCAGCAGATGGTCTGACCCCCACAGAGCCCTGATCTAAACATCAAGCAGTCCGTCTGGGATTACATAAAGAAGGAGTTACACAGGGAGCCTCCATCCCCAGAGCTGTGATCAGCTCTCCGCAAACATTCAACCAAGCTACAGGATGTGCCTCAGATCTCTAAAAAATGGGAGCTTTTCTAACACTTGCTGCTGTTTTCAAGTTAACACATACAAGACAAGTTAATTAAGTAACTTCTATGTTATTAGGAGGCAACACAAGTTAATGTCTAGAGCACATTTTGATGTTTAGATAATTCAATTGAGTAGATTTCTTCTATGTCTGAGCTGGAAAGGGTTAATGGTCACTTGGTGGTATCATCTGCATATTTTTTTATGATTCAAACAAACATATAGGGGCTTGCTGAGATATTCACCCCAATGTGTTGTTTGTTTTTACTTTAAAGCCATAAAGTGTAGTCCTGTTTCTCTGACTGTGACTGAGTGGATGTGCTCTCTTCATCCTCTGACATGGGAGCTGACTCAGAGTTCGTCTGCCTGGCTGTGTTTCCTGGACGGGGCCGCCTTTTACAGCTGCTTTTTGTATCTCTGCTTCCGTCTCCTTGAACCCCAGTCGGCCTCCGCAGATGGCCGCTCACACTGAGCCTGGTTCTGCTGGAGGTTTCTTCCTGTTAAAAGGGAGTTTTTCCTCTCCACTGTCGCTACAAACATGCTTAGTGTGAGGGATTGCATTCGAGTCGATGCGATCAACTGGTTTATCCTTAGATAGAAAACTTTGAATCAATTTGACTGGATGATCTGGTGAACTGTAAAGTGCCTTGAGATGACATGTGTTGTGAATTGGTGCTATAGAAATAAACTGAATTTAATTAATTTAATATCACTGTTGGTAATTTGCACAATAAACCAAGACATACTCATACATGCGATGTATGACCATCATGTTTGTATGTAACCTGGAACAAATGCCCAGAAGCACGGAAACCTTCAGCTGTTCTAAATCCAGATTTAAGCCGTTTTTGTTGAAAGTAGCTGTTCACTGTCTAATCTAAACACTACTAGTTAAGTTTCCTGTTTAACTTTCATTCCCTTTTGCTTAATCATTGTGCACTGAAAAAAATAATGTAACCACTTTTGAAATTTACTTAATCATATGTAGTTTTTTGACACATTTATTTTGCTAAAGCAACTACAAAAGCCAAAAATGGTTGCATTATTTTTTCAGTGTATCTTTTTAATCAATCATTTTATCTATTTTCCTATTTTAGTATCACTCTAATTCTCTTTAATCATTGTATTGCTTCTATAACACTGGAGTGTATATTTTCTTTTACTGTTTTTCTCATTTTTTTAATCACTGAAATGTGCTTTATAAATAAACATATCTTGTATGTACCTGAGTGGACAGGTAACAGGTATCCTGTTGTGCATCTTGCAAACTCCTCAGTAACTTGTTGGTTACCTTAAAAGATGCAAGATGAAGTCATCGTCTAATTTACATACTAATTTACATTCTGAGCTCCTTCAATAGTTTTTTTTTTCTTTTATTATTACAATTTGCTGTCTCACACAGCAGGGCAGAGAGATAGAGTCGCTCGAAGTAAGAAATGTGGGGATTTTAAGAGTTTTTTTTAGACTTTTACAGAAAGAAGAATAAAAAAAAATCATATAATTCATTCATTTAGTTTCAGCTCCAATTGGTGGCATAAATCCACCATTTCTTTTTTGTCATCCAGCAAAAAGAAAAAAAAACTGAAGAATAAGAAAGCAGCAGTGCAAAGACACATGGAGACTGGGAGGGGAGAAAATAGGCTGCAGACTGAAAAAGCAGTCATTTTATGTGATAAAACTGTGTCATTTAAAAAATATTTTCATTTTTTAATTTTGCAACCTAGGCTGGGGCTAGCAGCACAGCTTTGCACATTTCATTTGCAATCTGGAGTGTAAAGATTTACTCTCTGCTGTAGCGCAGGTAGCCTGCTCTGCATGGTGACAACAGACAGAAAGAGAGGGAGGCTTAAGATCGGCTCACTCGGGAGGAGAGAGTTTGGTGCTTTTATGTCCCAGAGTCTCCACTAACAAAAAAACAAAGCCGCTAGATTTGACGCTAGGAGCTTTTTTGAAAAGAGGCACAAGAGGCGATTGAAAAGATGCTAAATTTAGCGACAAAAGTGCTAAGATTGCAACAGTTTTCCTTTGCAATATTGCTTTTTCCATTTACAAAAACTCGTTCTTTATTTAAAGCAATAATGGAATCAAATTAACTCCATAGCTCTGACAGGTTCTTTTGGTGGATGTTTAAAAAGGTAGAAAATCAGCCCTCTAAAGGTATTTTACTATTTATGATCCATCTAATAAACCTTTACTATATCTAAAGATACAAAGAGGCATCAAAGAAGGACTTCTAACATTGCTTCGAGTTAAACTAAAGATTAATCCACCGCATATGCATATAAAAAGAATGGCCTTAATACCGCCTGCAATCACTGCTGTTTAACTTTGATCAAATTCTGTTCCAGGCACACGTTTGTCAGACTAAATATCTTGTGATGGGAGTGATAAGGCGTTGATGTGATGTGTGCTGGCTGCAGGAATATCTACAGATCTTTATCACTCGCAGGCATTTCCATCAGTTTTTTCATCCGCCCATGTTCTTATAAAGAAATGGAAAGTGGTGCAGAGTGTCCATGCAATGAGTGAGACTGGTATTGGTTTGCAGTTTTTCCTGCTTTTCTAAAAAGGTTTTCCAATAATCAAAAAGATTTGGTCAGTTTAAAAAACATCAGCTTGTCCCATAGCAAACAGCAGCCAACACCTGCTTATTGTTGAGCTTCATCATATCTCTGCTTCAGCGGAGACAGTCCTCTGCACAGCAGCTTGGCTCTTCTTACATGATCATTTAAGATGCAAAATTACAGGCAAAGTGAAGGCCCTCAACGCCCCTCTGCCATGGCTCTTATTGTGTTGCCGTCTGAGTTGCCTGATGATCATGGCTGACAGCATAATTACTGCCGTGTGGGAAGGGATAAAAAGGGATGCTGCTTGCTCATTCTCCCACCTAAACATCCAGCTGCACCGCTCGGACCACTGAAAGAAGGGGGGGGGGGGGGGGGGGGGGGCAGGCTCACAGATGAAATGACAACTTAGTCCTCACTTAATGTTTTTGGTAAAGGTAAAATTTACTTATTTATTTATTTTTTTTTTGTTTTTTCCTAGGAAATAGAAAGCTGAAAGTAAATGCAATTCATATATATATATATATATTTTTTTTTTTTATTCTAAAGCAAAATAAAAGTTTTTTGTCAACATTTATTTTCTCATCTATTCATATCTTTTATATTCATTTTTATTATTTCTCTTTTTCTGTGTGATTTTAAGGATTTACATTCTTTTTAAATTGTTATTTACAGACGATGTTCTTCTCACCTCTCGGAACGCTCCTTCCTCTGGTCTGCATAGACGTTGAATCTGGATTGCTGGAATACAAAGTTGTGTAACAGTGTCCCCTGGCTGTTACACAATAGGTAAAAATTCACAAAAGCAGCAACACTTACCCACTGGCTGCAGTGGGGTTTGTTTTGGTGCAAAAGAGATGGAAATGTTGATACCAGGGTGGGCTGATGTTAGCAACCTAACAAGCCATTTCAGGAATGACGTAAATGCAGGGGGAGGATAAAAAAAAGAAAACTGTTTTGGGCTTTTCTGGTTTGAACAAAGAGTCAAAAAAGCAAAATTAAAAATCTGCACTCAGGTTGTTTAGTAAATTATGATAAATTTTATTAGTATACTGTATAAAATTTCAATTTCTCTAAGAGAGACTGGAGAAATTATGCTTAAATTTTCAATACCAATGGCTTTACAAACTACAACACACATTTAAATCACAAGCAAAAGTTTAATTCAGTTTATTTATATAGCGCCAATTCACGACACATGTCATCTCAAGGCACTTTACAATTCAACCAGATAATACAGTCAAAGTGATTCTTTTTTTCTATCTAAAGAAAACCAGTTGATTGCATCGACTCAATGACTCAAATGCAATCCCTCACACTAAGCATGCTTGTAGCGACAGTGGAGAGGAAAAACTCCCTTTTAACAGGAAGAAACCTCCAGCAGAACCAGGCTCAGTGTGAGCGGCCATCTGCTGAGGCCGACTGGGGTTCAAGGAGACAGAAGCAGAGATAGAAAAAGCAACTGTAAAAGGCGGCCCCGTCCAGGAAACACACAGCCAGGCAGACGAGCTCCGAGGCAGCTCCCATGTCAGAGGATGAAGAGAGCACATCCAGTTAGTCACAGTCAGAGAAACAGGACTACACTGGAAAACAGGCCAATCTCCAGCATCTATAAACAAAGGTGTTGATGGCAGCAGCACAGCTGATATTTCTCTCCAGGATGGAGTTACAGCCAAACAGGAACAGACGAGGCAAAGCTACTATGAGAAAAAGAATAAGGGGATCACGTTAGAGATTCAACTAACAGATTCTGCAGAGTAGGAGAATAGAGATAGAATGAAGCAGAATGATGAAATAGGGGTCCCTGTGTCCTCCAGAAGTCTAAGCCTATAGCAGCATAACTTTAGAGATAGCTCAGGAAGTGCATATACACTTCATATACACTTCGTCGTGCATATACACACACGTGGATGTGGCCATGTCTTTAATACCTGGTGGGGACAATTTTCTAGGAATATGCTACATTTTGGGGACT